TATTAATTCATCGAAAAATTAGATGATGATTCCGTGTATACGTTGTTTTCAAATTCCGTATATTAATTCCTACTAATATATATTGATGATGCTAGAGTTAGATCACTTTAGAGTGTTGAAGTAGGATGAGCTGGAAGAGCAGAGTGGATCACTGGCTCACGAGCTTGATGACTTTGAGATACCTGCTATCATAGAACACGTAAACTAGGCCGGAGGTTGATTCGGCGGAAACCTCTCCGACGCTCAAGTCAGACGTGCGGATAATAGAAATAGTCCAGAGAATACATATTGCAGTATTGATCAGTTAATAGGACGTACCTTAAGGAATGAGTTCAATCCTTTATTTATAGCTTAGTTGAGATTGTCATGCTCAAACCTTACTTGAAAGTGATTGGGACTCGGTAGTAGTGGTCTTCAATATTGGGTTTGTGGCTCAGTAGGTAAAGAAATTGTAGGCTTATTGGGTTGGCCCAATTAGGAATATCATATATATATATATATATATATATATATATATATATATAACAATCGTAGTTGAGTCGGAAAAACAAACTATGAGGGTGTTTGGCTAAGCTTATAAGATATTAAAATGAGTTTATAAGATGTTTTAGAGCTTATAAGCTTTTCCAAGTGTTTGGTAATTTTTTAAAAAAAATCTTAATTTTTTTTAAAATTCGCTGTTGGAGAGCAAATAAAATCTTTTAAATAAGAGGGTGTTTGGCTAAGCTTATTTTAAACAGCTGATAAGTTCTTACATCTGATAAGATGTTTTAAGAGCTGATAAGCTGTTACATCTTATTTTTAGGATTAATTTTTAGAGTGTTTGGATAATAAGCTTATTTCCTAATTTTACTCATTATAAGATCTTAAATAAAAAGGTGGGGTAGAGGTACTTATTTAAAAAGATCTTATTTGCTCTCCAACAGCTTATTTTTAAAAAAATTAAGATCTTTTTTAAAAAAATTACCAAACACTTTGGAAGAGCTTATAAGCTCTAAAACATCTTATAAGCTCATTTTAGCATCTTATAAGCTTAGCCAAACACCCTCTAAGTACATCCACCCCACCTTTTTATTTAAGATCTTATAATGAGTAAAAACAGGAAATAAATTCATTATCCAAACACTCTAAAAATTAATCATAAAAATAAGATGTAACAGCTTATCAGCTCTTAAAACATCTTATCAGACGTTAGAGCTTATCAGCTGTTTAAAATAAGCTTAGCCAAACACTCTCTATATCTCAAATAAAACAGCAAAGAACAAAACTCATAGTGCATATCTGAAGAATAACCTGAGATTTTAGAAATCCAACGTAGTTTAGATTCCTAAAATTTATATTTCTCATTTAATTATTTTTTTAGAAAATTCATATAATTCTAATTATTAAGAAATTTCTGATGTATGTTAATATTAAATTTCTAATGTATGTTAATATTACCAAAAACCATCCTAAATCATGATCTTTTAGGTGTTATAGTAGTTTACCAAAAACATAAAATCAGCAAGAATTGTTTGCTAACAGTAATAAACATAAATTTAAATAGTTAAATATATTGGTACAAAATGCAATGATCCCATCAGTATTTACTTTTCTCTTTTTTGAGATACAGGATATTACTACAACTTTACCACCGACGGAAGCATGTTACAACTTTAAGAATTGGGCCCAAGTAATCAGACATTCTCATTTCTTTGCGGCCCAACAACGTTGTACAAGTTACAACCCCACAATTTAGCTCCACATGTTGTTTAATAATTTGATTAAACTTTACTGATAACAACAACTAGGATTTCGCTGTGTGGGAATTTCAACTCCAATCAGAGTTGATTCCTTGTGGGCACCAGGTCCGGGTCCGTTACTTTAACGGGCCGTTGAGTTACCATGATCTACATTCCTCCATCAAATACTTGTCGGACCAAGTGATGGGGCCCTCAGAGCGAGGGATTTTGCCTTTATGGTTCAGGCATTTCGCAGAGATAACATTTCAAAATTAAAAATTAGTAAAAAAAAATGAATTAAATTACAAATATGACATCTAAAATTCGTGTGTTTGTAACAAATGACGGGAAAATAGGAGATATATAAAAAATTAAAATTAAAAATAAATAAAAAACCTCTATCCGAGTGGATTAGGATTCTTGCTAGCAAACCCGATTTGCTATGAAGATCTATCGAGTGGATTTGGATTTTGCTTGCGGAGTTGCAAATCTGATAAAAGTGTTATAAAATTAATCATATAATTGAATTCTTCCATTTGCATTGAGTGGGCCAATGTAAGTCCGAATATATGAAATCCCAAACAAAGATTAACGCACATCACGATACATATAATATTTGTAAAGGCCCAATTTTCCAGGCCCAAAATTTCTATACAACCTTGACTTCTAAATTATTATCATTATTAAAAAAATAATAATAATATATAAATAAAATAAAAACCTTCCCCCCCCCCTGTGTGGCTTTGGTATAATCTTTAACATAAATTTGAATATGATTAGTATGCGTACATAGTACACACTTCAAATAGTGACATAAAACTCAACAGAACACTATAGAAATGAAAAATCAAATAGTAACATTGATGCGGGATCAATCAAGATCCGTAAATCGGGAATGCTTGTTCGCCTATCCTGCAAAATAAATTAACATACTATGTGACACGCCACTAAATTCGCCGACACTCAAGTTAGATGACGTCGCGTGTTAATATCAAACTTGAATTGTACGAAATCTCCAAACTTAAATTTTAGTAAATTAATCTGATTGGATGGTCAAAACCACTCCACATTTCTTCTATTTAACTACCAGCAATAAAACAATTGGCTGCTAATTAAAAAAGAAAGACAATAATGAGAAATTTCGTGTTCCAACCAACTAGAAGGGTTCCACACATATATGACATAAATGATAAAACTCAACTAAAACTCCATTAGGCCACTAATATTGGTTTATTAAATTAGTTTGTAACACCTCACTAATGACCATTATTTGGTCTTAATATAAAATTAGGCCAAATACACAATTTGTTATACTTTATATATATATATATATATATATATATATATATATATATATATATA